GGGGGAACGCAACCGGGCGAACGCGCTGGTCGTATGGAGATATGGAAAAGAAAAAAGGGAGCAGCAACAACAAAAACGGACGCAGCACACCTGTACGAAGAGGGCACCTGCACATGCTGCTTGCCTGCTCTCCTCCACTGTGGTTGCGTGGCGCCCTGCGGCATGTGCCACTGGCACCCGGCTCCTCTACCGCGACCACGCACGCTCCGATGTGAGGCGGCGCGGTGTTGCATCTCCTGTCCACCGCCGCGAAAACGCACGCTTGTGCCATCCACATCCAACACGCGAGAACATGCGAACAAAAAAAAGAACAAGAGAGGACGAAAATTGTGTTTGCATGAGCGGGGAATGGTGTGGCGGCGGCATATGGGCCGTGTGAGGGGCGGGGCAGAAGCGGGGAGAGAGCGCAGGACTGTCTCGTTTGGGTCCCTCTCCCCGCACTGATGCCATCGTTGTGGCTTGGGTTTTGGTTTTGACTTGTTGTGTTGTTTGTTTTTCGCGGCGTGGTGCGGCGTGCGTGGATGTGGCGGGCTTATTTGTTTTTGTTTTTGTTTGCCTGACGCCTCTGTGGGGTGGGGCCGTCTTGGCGTGGCACCTCTCTTTCCCTCACTTTGTCTCCACCTCGCGAAGACAGACAGCAGTAGAAAAAAACACGCACACATCGTTCCACGCAGCGGGTATATGATGGCGGCCGAAGTTGGAATGCGGGCGCGCTCCGCGGTGAGGACTGCCGTCCGGTGGATGGCGCTGCTGCTGCTGCTGCAGTGCCTTGGCAGCCACCCCTCCTTCACCGCGGCGGGAGAATACAAACATGTGGTCGTTAAAATCAAGAGATATTTCAGCTTTCCCCATTCGGAGTTTCGTGAGAAACATGAAGGTCGGGTAGATTACGTCTCGTCATCAAAAAGTTGTGGTGCTAATGGAGGCCTTCTTACTGCGGATCAAACACCTGCTGCGCATCAGTCCATCACGGATTACTTGAGACAGGTGAGAGGCATTGCCGATGATCAGGTATTCACGTACATGGGCGGTGACGCCCTGCACAGCGCTTTTTCCCAGAACCATGCCAGTAAATGTTATCCCGGAATTACTACGCCATCGCTGAACTGCGTCTTTGAGTGGAATCAGGGGCTGTTTGAGGACACGAGTGCGAAGGTGAAACTACGTGGTGTTCCGTTTTTCAGAGGTTCACTGCACTCCATCCCTGGCGCAGGCCCACTGAACGGGTACGACGATTACTGGCACGAAGGTTACCCTGCCAACGGTCAATTGTTTTTAATATCTCGCCTGGATACGAAGAAGAAAAGGGCGACGACAACGTGGTACGACGGGAGTATCTCCGCCCAAATCAACGTTGATACGCCTAATGAGGCATTTGGCATTGTATGTGAGGTGCAAGACGAAATCATTACGACGACGACGACGACGACGACGACGACGACCACGACGACGACGGAGGCCCCGCCCACCACCACGACTACGACAGAACCGGAGGTGGTAGTTTCGTGGGTGCAGGATC